AGATGGAGTGGGCTTTTTAAATTTAAAATTTTGATGTAAGAAAAAAATTATTTTCTGTTTCACTTTGTATCTCTATGAGATGATGGATGTTCACTAAACTTATTGAGATCATCGTTTCATGATGTATGTGAGTCAGATCGTGATGCTGCACACCTGAAACTTACACAAGGCTGTATGTCCATCATATCTCAAAAAAACTGGAAGAAAAAAATTTTTAACTTTTGAGATCATTGTAAATCCACGGGTAGTTGTAAGAAATCATAGAAATCCTGTGTACCATTTACTCAGTTTTCCCCAGCAGTAACATGTTGCAAAACTATAGTACAAGTCACAAGCAGGAAATTGACACCCATGCGATACAGTCGAGATACAGAGCATTTCCATCCCAAGGATCCCTGCCGGTGTCTTTTCATAACCACCCCCGGCTCCCTCACCCCCATCCCAAGCGCCCGTTCAGATGCCCAGCAACTACTAATCTAGTCTTCATTTCTGTAATTTTGTCATTTCAAGAATGTTATGTAAATGGAGTCATGCAGTAATTAGCCTTTGGGGACTGGGATTTTTCACTCAGCATGATTCCCTGGAGATTCGTCCAGGTAGATCTCAATAGTTCATCCCTTTTTAGTGCTGAGGAGGGTTCCATGGGATGCTGTTCCACAATTTGTTTAGCTAGTCGCCCATTGAAGGACATCTGGGTGGTTTTCTGGTTTTGGCTGTTGTGCATAAAGCTGTTATGAACAATCATGGGCAGGGTTTTGTGTGAACGTAAGCTTGCATTTCTCCGGGATAGATGCCAAGCAGTGCACTTGCTGGGTTGCGTGGTAGTTGCTCGATAGGGCTTTGAAGGATGCATCTGGTATGGAGAGGCAGGTAGGGGTGGGGGCTTTGCTGCAGGTGGACACCAGTGGGAAGCACAGCCCGGGAGCTCAGCCCTGATACCCTAGGTGAGTTGATTCATCTGTCTGTACACTGTTACTACTTATATCTGTTGTGTATTGATACATAAAGCGCCCGGTACACAGTAGGTGCTCAGTAGATAGAAACTGTTCTTAACATGGGTTAAGAGAAGACCCACCAGGCCAGAGCAGGATCTGTGCCCCAGAGGTGATCTCAGGAGGCCTTTCCCTTGCCCCCTGTGGGCCCTGGGGCACCTCCTTTTTACCTTGGGCAGAGCTGTGCACCCAGTCGTCCCTCAAAGGCCGAGTTCCTGGCTTCTCCCTGAGAAGTAACTGGCCCCGTCCTCAGACTGGGCTCTGAGTCTCTGGACGGGCACTGGCATTCCCCAGTGAGCTTGGCCAGGCCCATGCCATGGATCAAAGGAATCCCAGGGAATTCCAGATTGTGCCAGGCTCTGATGGTCTGGATTTGCCTCACAGGGTCTGAGAATGTGCCCGGATCATTTCAAATGTTGCTACGATTTAGCCGGATTCCAGAAACGTGTGGAGCTCTTGCTGTAGTCAAGGCACCGACCTGGGTGCTGCAAAGGGTTCAAAAAAAATCATTCTCTTTCAGCAGATCAACCCAGCCAACTCCAGCTCCTTTGGGAGCATCCTATGGCCGCATGATAAAGTCTGGCACTCGGAGCCTTTGGTCTGGGGTGACTCTGTCTTTCCAGCCCCTTGTCCTGCTGCTGCCCCCTCTCCACGTGCCCTGTGTGCCTGCCAGTAGTGTGCTCACTGCCCCCCGCCTGCCCCCGCCTGTACAGGCCAGGCTGCCATCCTACGCTCACGCTTCCCCCTTCCCAGGTGCCTCTTCCCTTCCTGTTGAAATCTTGCTTGTTTTCTTTTTGATCAGAAAGGCGTTATATGCACTGGATGAAATCCTCAAATAGTACGTGTCCGTGTGTAAGGCTATACACTCAAAGTGCCTTCTCCCACTCCAGGGCCGCATGGTTATGGGACCATGCTGTACTCCTCTTCTTGCTGTTTTCGTTTACAGTGTTGTCTTAGAGAGTGCTTCGTATCTGTACCATTAAAACTGCCTCATTAACACTGCAGTAGAGGTGACATGGTATTTGTTTACATAGCTACACTGTGATTTCTGTTACCAGTCACCTGCTGATGGCCGTCTGGGTTGTCCCCACTCCTGGGCTCTTCCAGGCAGTGCTGCATGTCATTGGTCCCTGTGCCAAGGGGTCTGTTTATGACTCAGCCCCAGGGACCCCCTCCTCCATCTGCCTTCCGTAGCTGTGGTACCTGTGTTCACAGTACTGTCTTTCCACAACTCCTGAAGACAGGGCTCGTGCAGGACCTTCCTCCTCCTTCCAGTGCCTGCCGTGTTTACTGACTGCCCAGTTTCCAGGAGCATATGGTGCTCTGGTATTCACCAGTCATGCTGCCTCTGTGCGACCTGGCCTTTTGTAGGGGCTCCAGTGGGAGCAGAGCTGCGAGAGCTGGGACACCTGCACCGCTTCCTCCATCCAGCTTCGTGCTTGGTACACAGCGGCTGCATCGGATGGGCTAACGTGTTTCCGTGGCGATAAGACTTCTACAGCATCGTTCTTACTGGCCGCCTACTGTTTCACCAGAGGCATGGGCCATAATACAGCCAGTTCCCCCCCCCCTTTTTTTTAAAATTTATTTATTTATTTTTATTTTTGGCTACGTTGGGTCTTCGTTGCTGCACGCGGGCTTTCTCTAGTTGTTGCGAGCGGGGGCTACTCTTCGTTGTGGTGTGCGGGCTTCTCATTGCGGTGGCTTCTTGTTGCAGAGCACAGACTCTAGGCGCGCTGGCTTCAGTAGTTGTGGCTCGTGGGCTCTAGAGCGCAGGCTCAGTTGTAGCACACGGGCTTTGTTGCTCCGTGGCACGTGGGATCTTCCTGGACCAGGGCTCAAACCCTTGTCCCCTGCATTGGCAGGCGGATTTGTAACCACTCTGCCACCCAGGAAGCCCAGCTAGTCTCCTCTTGATGGAATTTAGCTTTGAAAAGTTTTGATGGAATTTCCCTTTTAAAAAAATTTGAGAGGACAAATGCTTGGGTGTCCATTGCTGAGAAAAGATCGGGACTCAGAGGCTCCCCCATGAAACTAGTGGCAGTAGCTACTTGTTTATTGAGTTCTTCAAATGAGCTAGGGCTTCTCACCGAGCAAGCCAAGCTCTCTTTTCTTATGATACAGAGTCATCTTCTGAGGCAGGCACTGTTGTCCCTATTGTATGGAAAGGCAAACCAAGGCTCAGAGAGTAAGTAACTTGGCAAAGGTCACTCAGACGATACGTTTCAACAGCTGGGATTCCAGCTCAGGTGTGCTTGGCTCAGGACCTGAGCTTGTAACCAGCGAACCCTCCTGCCTTGTTAGGGAAGAAGGGAATGGGGAGGGTGGGTCACCCCTGGGCCTGGGGTGATGGCTGGCGGCTCCAGAACTGAATCGAGGTTGCACCTAGAGAGAAGACGGCCTCCATCAGGCCTCGTCTCCGTCTCTTGAAGGGAGAGTCCACAGCACCACTCCGGGCACTCCCCTGCTCACGTGGCCCGCCCTGCTCCCACGCCAAGCGTCCAGGGGGCTGGCTGGCATCCCTGGCTCGGCTTTCTGGCCAGACTCGGAGGAGTGATCTGAAATTCTTTGCTGGGGCAGATCATACTTGGTCAGAACGTTTCACTTCTAGATTGATGTGGCTTTGGAACTCTGCATCAGGTCTCCCAGTGTGACCTGGGAGCCTGGAGACTCCACCGGCCCTCCCTCCTGAACAGTCAGTCCTTTGAAAATGTATTGATTTCCCTACTTCCCTTCCCTGCTTTTGCACTTTGGATGAACCTTGTTTTCGAAGAACAGTAGAAGGTAATTTTCCTGTGCTCGCCAGCTGGCCCGTAATTGAGCAATTTCAATAACACCCACTGTAAAGTCTAATCGAAGTAAACAGGAAAATATGATTTACAATCTGGACGGCAAGTAAATACCAGGGTGCAATTAATTTTTACACAGAGCAGCAGATTCTAAAACATTCTCCTGCACTGACCAGTTTGATTTTAATTACAGATTAGGAGCTGTTGTTATCGTTACTTTTTACTTTTTGATGGAACCTGATGATCTTCAGATTCCTCGGACCTCTGTGACTTCCTCTGAAGGTGTAACCACGGAGGGGTGGGATGGAAATAGGATCAGAGAAATTAATTTGTAAGGAGCGATTTTCCCAACCTGGACTGAAGGCTGCACTCTTTGGGCTTTTGCTTGGTGAGAGATGAGGGTGGGTCAGGGAGATGCTCCGGGCTGTGTAGAACGATGATGAGAGAGGGTCCCATCACTGCTGGGAGCTCAGAGGGGTGAGTGCAGGCCGGGACTTGGTTTGGCTCATTCTGAGGAAGGGGACGGAGGCGCCCCATGTTGCAAATGTGTCATTTTGGAATCGTGGTGCTTCCAAGGATGGGAAGTATGTGCCTTTAAATGGATCCTCCTGTTCTTCCAGTGGTTTCCTTCAGACCTGGGCGGAGAACAGGAGCCACCTTGCCGGCTGCGGGGTCAGCCCGTGTCTGACCTCAGCTGACCTTGGGCTGTCTGTAGGGCTAGCTCAGTGTAGGAGGTCACACGGCTTGAGCACACTTCGGGGACAGCAGTCTGTGAGCAGCCCAGACCCCGAGATCTGTCTTAAAGGTGCCACAAGGCTGAGCTGGGTCAGAGTTGTGCCCACCAGGTATTGGCTTTAGGGACACCCTAAGGCTGGCCTGGGGGTGGGTGAGGACTCCGGGAAGGCCATTCCGGCCTTCGTGGCCCCCGCCAGGTTACCTCTCCTGCAGCAGAGAGGCGGTTCTATTCCCCAGCAGGGTCCCAGCGTGCAGGGGAGGGCGCGGCTCTCTCGGGGCCCTGGTCTGCGCCAGTCCTGAATCCCTCTGCGTTTCTTTTATCTTTCCAGGGAGTTGACCACACTTGGCCATTTCCTGGAAGACCCCCACCCTGAGGGTGAGCAGCCGATGGGGAGCTGTTTCTGCTGACATCGTCATCCGGGGGGTGCCCAGGAGGTCGCCTCTGCCCAAGTCTGCCCACCTGAAGATGGCTCGTGCCCACCCTGGGCTGGCGCCCAGTGCCTGAGGTCCTTACCATGGTGATGATCCTGAGTCAAAGCCTCGACAAGCAGGGAGCTGACCCCGTAGCGTGCAGGACCTTCATTCCTGAGCTGGTAAGGACCTGGTGGCCTGGCTTCTCTGGTGACCCTTTTGAGGCCCGATATCCAGGTGGGGCTGTGGACTGAGGAAGAGGCCTTAGCAGATGTGCCCAGAGGGCCCGCGAGCAGAGCTCTGGGAGCCGTGGCAGGAGGGGCAGTGGAGCAGAGTCACCCAGAGCCCGGCTTCGCCCTCACAAGAAGGAAGTAGCCAGCCCAGATTTGAGTCCTCTGGCGAGCGGGGAGGGCAGGCCAGCACCCTGGTAAATAATACCAAGCGTGCTTCTGCCGCCCCTGCCGGGCTGAGCCCCACATTCCTTCTGGTCTCCACCCGGTCAGGGAGGTAGTTTCCAGAAGGCGGGGTGGTCAGTGCGAGCGAGAGCTGCCGCCTCAGCAATGTCCAGAGTGGGGGGCGGTGGAGAAAGAAGGCGCGGCCTGGCGGCCAAGGTGGTGGGCCTGGTGGCGGCCGCCCCCCGCAAGGGTTGTCCTCGGACCAAGTGGCCCGGTGAGCCTGGCCAGAGAGGCAGACAGCCGGCCTTCTTAGGCCGCGAACAAAACGGCCTCCTCACCCTCCTTCTATAGCCCTAATTCCTCGGAAGTGGGTGGGCTTCTCCCCTGCAGGGGGAGCTGAAAGCAGTCCCGCTCGGGCATAAACACTCTTGTGGGGGGTTTTGCACGTGGGTACGTCCCAGGGATTCTGCTGCTTCTGTGGTCAGGGATGGGGGCACTGTCCGGGGTCATGTCACCCAGCGCCGCTCCTGGCGCCCTTCACAGCCCCTCGTGAGACCCCACGCTAGCACCTAGTGGGCTTTCTCCCCCAATCTTACCCCACCACCCAGGTCGAGAGCAGGCAGGTGGGTCTTAGGTCCTCATAAGAGCTTGTAAAAGCCACCAAGACCTGTGTCCACTCCTCAGGCCTTCACGGAAGCACCTTGGGCTGAAGGAATTCCGTAAGACAAGTAGGGTCTCTGCCCATCACTCCTTCCTTTCCAACTTGTGTTGAATATATATCTGTCAGTAGATTCCCTCTCATCATCCCCACTGCTGCTGCTCTGGTCCTTCCTGCATACTCTCTCATCTGGATTGTTTTGGGAACTGGCCCCCACTCTGGCTCCTGTAGCCTGTTTGCATTACCCAGCAGCCAGAGGGAATGCAAGTCAGACCGTCCCACCTCTGCTCAGAGCCTTCCACAGGCTTCCCGTCTCAGGCTGAGCAAACACCAGACTCCTGCTGGGATGTATGAGGTCCGGTGTACTCTGGCCCCCGTGACCGCTGTGCTCTCTCTCCGCGGCTCTCCGCCACTGACTCTGTTCAAGCCACGCCGGCCTCCCTGCTCTACATGCCTCAGGGCTTGTGCACTTCTTCCCTGGCCTGGAACGCTCCCCGTTAGCAGGACTCTCTCCCTCCCTCCTTTGCTTTGGCCACTTGGCCTAAAATCTAATTCCACTACCTCCCCTACCTCCTTAACCCCATGTACTGCCTGTCCCCTTTTCCCTGTCCTTTTCTTTCCAAGGCGCTTAACCACTTTTCTAACATCTTGATCTCGTTCACTGAATGACTCCTGCCCCAGAGTGTGAGCTTCACGAGGCAAAGGACCTTTATCACTCTCGCTCCTTGCCGAACACCCAGTGCCTGACCCTGGGACCTAGTGCGTGGCAGGTGTTCAGGGGATATTTTGGAGCGAGCGAATGCGGGTCCCTGTAGCCCAGCTTCTCAGCTCGTCATCGTTCAGTCCCTTCTCTGCTGCTCAAGTTCACGGCTGAGGGGGTGCAGGTATGAGTTGCTCTGTTTTCTGTGGTTGGTGGGTGTTTTCCCGCTGAAATTAAAGCACTCGTGTAGAGTAGCTCTGACCAAAAAGCAACGGCTCTCAGGGTGAGGGCCTCCTGGAGGGCCCAATGGAGGCCCCCTCTGGCTCCAGCTGTGCTGTTTGCCTCAGTTGCCGCCGCTGAACTTGGTTCCATCTGGGGGTGGGCCTGCCTGGGCTTGGCCGTGGAGCTGGGTCCAGGGCCCATGGGCCCGTGGTCAGCTGAGCCGGTCTTCAAAGAGACAGGGCCTGAGCCCTTGCCAGGAGGAGTGCGGCCTCCCAGCCCCAGCCAGGGAAGGAAAACTCATCTTCTCAGAAAAAAAAAAGGAGAGAAAGCCAAGGGAAGCAAATGGCCATTGAAGGGGGCTCGGTGGCTTCACAGGTCGGGGTCTGGCCTTTCTTCCCACACCCCTCCCCTTCTTGGAAAGTCATCGCCTTCTGTGTTCCTTCTCTTCTTGCCTCCCCTGGACTTCCGGATGGGCAGCCCAGCTATGGGCAGCAGCCACCTTCGGAGAGCGGCCTTCTCCTGTGTCAGTTGGTGGGTGCATCACAGGTTGTCAGCCCGTTACAGGTCTGGCCTGGTTCTGCTCTCACGGTGCAGGTGGAAGCACGATGAAGGCAAGCAGGAGGATGGGAGCGTAGTCTGTGTGGGGCCTGCGGAGTTGCCGTCACTCCTGCCTCTCCTGGAGCCTCCCCCAACCTGCTGAGGGGTGGGGACTCGTCCATCTCTACTTGCTATACAGGCAGGAAACAGAGAGCCCAGGGGACGGAGGGCCCAGGTCACACAGCTGGCGAGCAGGGTGCCAGGACGCAGGCTTCAAGTCCAGGCCCTGTTCACCCACCAAGGCCCTCACGCCCGCCCCTACCCGGCTCCTGAGGCTGTGGTCCTGGAATCCACTAGGCCTTGGGGAGAGGCACGGCTGTAAACAACCAAAGAAAGACCCTAAATAAGACCAGCCTAGTGATGACATCCACAGAATGTAAGATAAACTGATTAGAATTTGCTCTGAACAGCCAGCAAGTTTGAGAGGAAGATGGGGGTTTTGCTTGAGCTTCCTAACCGGGTAACATCATCCTCATGTAAATACCATCAAGATAATAACAGGAAAGATGGAAAAGCTTTTCTCTTTTGTTTTCTAATCAGACTAAGACGATAACAGAAGTTGGGGGTTCAGATTAAAAAAGAAATCGTGAATCACCACAGGCCGCTTTGAAATTAGGGAAGTGAGAGGCCCCGCAGTGAGGACAGAGCCTAAAACTGCAGGTGAAGGTCCTCTGGGGGCTTGGAAACACTTGGGAGAGGAGAGGCTTGGGCCCCCCTGGGCCCTGGCCGCCCCTCCCTGCCTGCTGAAGGTCCCCGTCATGGTTCTCTTGTTCTCCTTTCCCTAAAAGCTAAATGCTGGTGACAACGTGACTGCCCCTACTCCCGAGAGAGGTGGGCAGACAGAAAGGGGACTGGCAAGCACTCAGTATGCCTTCCCCCGGGGGGACGGGGGTGGGGTGGGGGAGTGCAGTGACTCGGTTCCCCTTTCCCCCACTCCGAGCCGCCGCCTTCCTTTCCCCTGTGAGCAGCTCTTCCTCTGAGTGTGCTAACATTAGCTGCTGCCGCTGGAAGGCCGCCCGGACATCTGACCTCAGGGCTGCGTTCCCCCAGCTCTGTCCCGCCCGCCCACGCTCCGGCCAAGGGCCTGTTCTCCCTCCTCCCCGGCCAGGCCCAGCCTCCTCTCCCCGGCGAGCCTCCCAGCCTCTCTCAAGTCTGGAGACCAGCGGGAGCTGGGGTGCACTGCTCCCGGGAGGGCGGGGGGCGGAGGCCGGAGCGAGGCTCCAGGCCGCCTCACTTTGCTCAGCCTCAAGGTATTTCCGGCCACAACAGACACCCGTTTTGGGAGCAGGTCCTTCCTTCCACGCTTGTCAGATTAGGACGCCGAGGCTAAGTGACTTGCCTGGCAGAAGAGTTCAGTGACTACGTCCGGCCTGGCACCCAGCTGCCTGGGCACCCAGGGTCTTCATCTTCCCGCGCACCCGGAGTCGGCACTGGGCCCGACGGGCCCGGCCAGGGTCCCTGGCCGGAATCCAGAAGCGCACAGAGCCTGAGGCAGTTCCCGGCCCCTCCCCCCACCCCCGCATCCCGGGCGAGCAGGGGCACCAGGGCCCGCCCTGCCCGTGGCTAACCCTGCAGCCTGGGGAGCCGGGCTGCCTGCCCTGTCTCCATCGGCGCCTTCGAGGGCCTCCACCTAAGGGCGCCTCTCCCTCCTCAGCTTCTCTTCCTCCTCGGGCCTGGCTCTGCCTCCTGCGTCCTACTGCCAAGGTCTCACCCTGTTCCCTTCCAGAGGCTGGGGTGCCCCACTTGTTCCCCTCAAGTGCGTGAGCGTGGGCCTGTTCTGCGTGGCCCTGTGGTTCCCTGTAGCGCCGCATCAGGAGAAGGAAAAGTGATGTGATTGCTTTAGTCAGTAGTCTACAGAAGGAAGTTATGAAGAAGCATGATTATGGCCAGAGATGAGCTCGGCTGTTTTCTGTCTGAGCTAGTTCCTCATTAAATAATGACCTGAACTGTGTCTTTATTTAAGTCAGGGTTTCTTGCGTTACTTAGTCAGACAGATGGCCCCTGGAGCCTCAATTTGATTTCCAGCTTTTGCCTTTCCTATGGAAGATCTGATTCCAAAACGTTCTCTGGTGATCCAAGGAGTCTCCCAGACACCAAGCTCTGCCCTGGGGGAGGCTCAGGAACAGAGGCTCTGGAGTAGGAGAAATACCCCGGGGAGCCGTGCTTATTGTTCTGTTGCCCTGCAGACCCCAGCCAGGGCTTGGACGTGCACTTGTGTGCGAATGCTGAGTGTCTTGTGAAACCTCAGATGGTGAGAGTTTCCCCTGAGGCCTGTTGGCCTCACCACATCGTCCACGTAGTGATTGGCTCATCCTTCCCACTGGGAGTGCAGAGGGCTCAAAGGGTCAGGGAGGCTGGCTGCAGAATGGCACAAACCAGTGGGAATAGAGCAGCCCTGGACAACTTGGTGCCCAGTGGGAACCTCGCCGTTGGGCCCAGGGAAACTGGCCAGCAGTCAGAGTGTGCCTGGGGCCTAACACCCTGGGAAGCTGTTGACTACGTGATGTTCTGGCCTGCCCACGGCCAGCCCGGCTCATGGACGGGACTCAGAAAGCCCCAGGGGGAAGTAGTTAGCTCATGACTATTTCAGGCCTTATGTTTGACCCTAAAATTGCTGCTGTCCTATCAGTCAGCATTTCTCCATAATTATTTTGATGGAATTTGTCTACACACACAGGCCAGTGTGAATTGAGCGTCATGAAGAGGATGAAGGAAAAGAAAGAGGAAAAAGCTGCATTTCAGGCGGGGTGGGAGGGTGGGGGGACTACACTGCACTATACATAGTTTGGCAGGTTTTCTTATGTCTTTTTAGTTAAGCAGGTTTAACTTGTAAATTATATTTCCTCCTGGCACTAGAAGCCTCTGCGCAAACATCACTGTGAGCAGTTGCATGGTGTTCCTTCAAGTAGCTGAGCCATGGCCCACTTCACCGTTAGCCTCGTGAAGTCCGGCGTGGAATTGGCCAGGGTTCCTCAGTTGTAAGCAACTGAGACTGTCTCCCGCTGACTTACACCAGAAGAGAATTCCCTGGAGCGATTGAGAGAAGTATGGGAGAGGAGTTGGTGAATGAAGCCCCAGAAAGCCCCAGCTTTCGGCCGGGATGGGGGGGAGGCCGCCAGGGAGACCACGTGACGGGAACCAGCCACAGAGCGAAAACCCTGAGGCGGCAGCGAGCTGGGCCGGTCCTGAGCTGCGTGAGTGAGGCCGGGATGGACGGAGGTTTGGCTCTGGTGGGCTGCGGAGAGGGGGGGCGCAGCCGGGTTTCATCCCGGTTGCCGTGGGGAGTGGTTGGAGGGTTGTGAGCAGAGCAGCCACGTGGCCTGGTCCCCGTGGGTCTGTGTGGAGGATGGAGGATGGAGGACGGGCCGGGGCGCAGGGTGGGGACCAGGTCGGGGGTTCGTTTGGTCCCTCGGCGGAGGCTCGAGCCGGGTGGCTTGGGGCATGAGAAGCAGTCGTTCCGAGCATGTGTTCTCCAGCCTGGCGAGCGCGTCTGCGGCAAACACGGATAGGTCCTCGCTAAGTGAATGAATGAGTGAGTGAGTGAGGGCGGGGGAGCCCTGCGCGCTGGCCCGGTGGCTCCCGTCCCTGGCCACAGACCCTCCCAGCATCTCTGGCGCCCACTCACCGGCCCCCATTCCTGGGAGGGCTCCCAGCTGCCCCTCTGTCTAGAGCACGGCAGCTTGCGGGGGAGGAGGGGCCGGTGAGCAGTGCCCCCCTGACTGTCAGCAGTCAGTTTGCTTCCCGCCGTGTCTGTAAACCCAGGCCTTCCTCGGTGGCCCCAGTGCAGCGACACGCGGCCCCTGTGCCTCGCGCCCTCCTGCTTGCCCTGGCCCGGTCCTGGTTTGGGCGTCTGTGGGCTCCCAGCCTGGGTGGCTGCCCTCGCCACCAGGCGCGGCGGTGGGGTGGGGAGGGGCGGGGTCTGTGCTTCCCGGAGGGTGTCTACTTTGTGCTGGGGCTCCTGCAGCATCGGGGCCGCTTCCCTCGAACAGCCAAGCCTGTGGCACCAGCCAGGCCCAGTTTCTCTCTCTCCGAACCTTCTCTGGGCCGTGGGGCCTGTCTAGTTTCCGCAGGTGGCGCTGCCCGGAGGCAGGGCTCTGAGTGTCTGTCACCTGCTCTCCCTTCAGTGACGTTGGTGTGAGCTGGGAGGGAGGCAGAGGCAGCCGTCTGTAACTTTTTCCAGATATTTCCCCGGGAGGACTCCAGGAGGGGGACCTATCCTGAACACATAAGGTTGTTTTAAACCCAAGAAGGGGGACTGGAGGAGGGCGGCCTTGCCCGCCTTCCCCCCCGGCCCGTTAAGTTCCTTCTGGTCCTTTAGAAGCAGCTCTGTTTGCCCCCCCGGATGCCAGCCCTGACCTCCAGCACCCCAGCACCCACGGCCTGACCCATCTCCCTCCAGTCCCACTCTCTGTAGCTCAGGGGTTTGTGTGACTGTGGCATCTGTGACGTGTGAGCTTCCTTAGGGCTGAGGCGGGCGTCCTTCACCTCCGTGTTCCAGACTGGTCAGGACGGACCCTTGATAACCTGATGGATGAACACATTGCTGACCAAGGGCAAAGGTCCCTGACTCGGGCAGCTGAGGACAGGGGTGGGGCAGCTGCTGCCAGACAGTGGCTACCCTCTTATCTGGGTGGGCTGGGTGTTCCTGGTCAGCACCCCGTCCTCCTTCCAGGCCTGAAAGAGCCAGGGCCTGGCTCTCTGCCCACTTCTTGGGACTGGTAGCCTTGCGCGTCCCTGCCACTTGGGGCTCCTCTCAGAAGCTAGAGCCCTCTGTGACCGCTGACCCCTCTGGAGCCGAGAGCTTCTTTCACCATCGCACGCTCAACCCCAGCACAGCCTGCACGTAACAAATTACCGGTACATATTTGCTGAATGAGTGGAGGAAGGAAGGAAGGCAGGAATGAGTGAGACCCTTCTTCCCGGGGCCCCGACGGGCATAGATGGTGTCCTCCTCATCAGAAGTCAGAACAGGCCTCTTGACCTGGGCCTCGGCCAGCACAAGGAGCCCCTGGAATGGTCCACGCTCGGGTTACTGTGGAGCCGTGGAGCAGGTGCCTGGGCTTGGGGCTCTTCTAGGCCTCACTGGCTTTTCACCCAACGATCATAGTGTTCGGCTGAGGCTAGGTGTGGGGTTAGAGGGCAGATGCGCAGTGTTCATGGTAGACAGGGACACCACTGTGGAAACGCGGTGCCGAGGAGTCCAAAGCAGTAGCTGTGTGTTGAGGCCAAACATAACCTTTGAGTTTCTGTTTCAGTTCGTCAGGATGCCTCGGGGGGCCTCCTGGCTGCCCAGCAGCCTGCAGAGCCAGGGCCACACTCCTGAGCTTTACCCGTTGCTTCTTCACAGAGACGGAAGAGGTGTTCTCCTTGTGTCTCGAAGGGAGGGCTCTGGAGGTGGCCCTTCACTCAAGGTTCTTCCTGTCACCATGGACAGGAAGAGGTCCCCTGTCCTCCTACCCTGGGTTGTGGGGAGGCCTGTCTCCAGCTCAGCTGGGTGAACCGTTCACATCACAGCTCCTTCTGCACCCTCCTCCGTATCACTGACATGGAAAAATCCCCTAGTGTCAGAAGTCACGGGTCTCTCTTGTGTGTTTTTAAAGCCCATTAACTTGATGGACTCCATAACTCACCGAAGGCTCCGGACAGAGAGCCCAGACCTAATTACGGGCAGATGTCTCTTTTAATACTTTTTTTTCTCCTTTCCCTAATCTGACGTTACCCCTTTAATTGTGACTTTAGCAAGGGATCAGTGCAGGGTCATGTGCAAACGTGCTTCTTATGACTTGAAGAGTGATAGCTTTTCTGGTTGTTTTCAGCACACGCCAAAGAAGATGAGTCAAGGACCGACACTTTTCTCTTGTGGAATTATGGGTGAGTAACCAAGGTGGCTGTGAACGGTCAGTCCTTCTCTAGCCCTTCCACCAGGGCCTGAGTGCTCCAGGTGAGACGCTAAAAGCACTTGCGGGACACAGGCACAAGGAGCAGCCGTGGGGATTCTCTTCTGTGTGTTTGAACTGTTCGGGTCCCAGCTGTGCTCGAGTGGTGCAGGGGCTGCTGCGGCTGACTGAGGGGCCGGGCGCTGGTGTGTGGTTTACGAATCTCATCTCCAACAGTGATACTGAGAGTTTCTGTCTGATTATTAAAGTAATCACGTTCATTTTATTTTAATTCAGAAAATGCACCATAGTGTAACGTATAAAATAAAAATCTCTCACAGCCCCAATACACAGTTACAACTACTGTTAATATTTTGGGGTAGTTTATGTCCATTGCGTTTTTTACATAGCCAAGTCCATGACGAACATACGATTGTACAAAATTATTTACAAAATGTTTTTTCTGCTTTTTTCGCTTAGTAATAATTACCACCGTTTCCCTGCAGCGCTACAGTTGCCCATTCCATGCACTTTAATGAGGCTGTGGTACTGCATTGTGTGGATGATTCAAAATGTGTTTAACGATGTAACTGTTTCTTGGTAGTTGGGTAGAAAGACCATTCTGTTTTCTGTTGAACAGTGACTCAGTGTCTGAATCTTGCTCTACCTTTTGGATTGTTCCTTAGGATCGTTCCCAGGTATGGAGTAGAGTGGCTGGAGAGCGGGAACATATCCATTTTTAAGGCTCTTGCTTCCTATTTCTGACATGCTTTCCAGAAAGGTTACCTCGGTACCCTGTTCCCACGCGAGTGTTAATTACCGTTTGTATAACGGGGCCAAAAAGAGGACTGTATTGACTGTATTGATTTCTCTCTGCTCCGGTTGGTTGGGCAGTCTCTCCTTGTGCGCTCGCCCCTGGGCTCCTGCCCCCTGCGGAGACACCTCGCCAGATGAGTTTCTGTAAACCAGGCTTCCAGGATGGGTCCTCTCTTTCGGGTTTCAAGTTTGTCTCCGCAGGACTATGTAAAGTCTCCGTTGCCTTTTGTCTCGGCCCTTTGCCTCTGGGCACAGCGGTTTCTTCTTTAGACTCAGTTCCCATAGGTGGGTGATGGGGGTGGTGCTGGGGGTGGTGCTGGGGGTGTCACAGTGAGCATGGCGCTGTGCCACGCGCCTCACATGCGGGACCTCCTGGACTCTGCAGCTGCTTCGGGGGGCGGGCAGGGGCGCCCACTCACATCTGGGGAAACTGAGGCCTCATGAGGTGGGTAGAGTTGGACCCGGAGTGGGTGAGGATTGTTTTCTTCTCACTCATGAGCCACAGCTCTATGGCAGAGCCCCGGGTGGCCCTCTTGGTGCTGCCGCCCAGAGGAAGTGGAAACAGGGAGCTCACCTGGCCTTGGTTTACCCGTGTGACACACTTTCGAGGCCTGTCCCCACATGGGGCTCGACTGAACACCTCGGTGATGGTTAACGGCTTGCGACAAACCCTCAGCGACCCATCCACATGGCCCAGAAGCCTGCCTCATTGCCTGCTTCCTGGTCAGACTCACAGTTGAGCTGTGGCTGGGCTGCCTTCCTCTGTCGTGTCCAGGAAGGAGAGAGGGGCTCCTGGGCATGCCAACCCCTCAGCCCAGCCAGGACGTCAGCTCTGAATTGGGCCAGACTAGTGACCTGGACTGTGGAGATGTTGGTCTTTATTTCAAGGCCGTGTTGTGCGTCGGGCTTCCTTGGCCTTTGCTACAAGTGCGTCAGAATAAGCTGGAGCTCCTGTGGGTTCGTGATGGTGGTGGTGGCACTCACATAGTCACTCTGAACTATTTACCTTTTCTAAGCCTCAGTTTTCTCATCTGTAAAATGGCTGTTAGGACAGCACTTGCCTCGTTGGGCGCGCCTCGAGCACTCTGAGACGTTTGTGAGGAGGTTGGCACAGCGTGAGCTCCATACACAATAGGCAGAGAAGGCTGAGGCCTAAAGTGAGAATCCTGCTCCTGCAGGGGGCCTCCATGCCCAAAGGGACCGCCTTGGTCTCCTTGGGGAGGGGGTGTGAGTGAGAGTCGCCCTTGCGGGGGAAGATGCTCGGGCCCAGGGACCAAGGCAGAGGCGTGTGGGGAGAGGCCTTTTCCCAGATTCCCAGCAGAGCTGGTCTGAGCCCGCAGAGCCCAGAGGCCTGCTTTTCGCTGGCGGGCGGGGGGCTGGGGGGGGGCATCTCTGGCCGGGGTTTCCAGGATGGCCTGTGCCGCTGCTCCTCCGGGCTCTTGTTGCCGGGTGGCTCTTCAGGAAGGGCTTTGCAGTGCTCCCCTCGCCCTCGGGCTCTTCCCTTCCGTGGGGTCTGTCCCCCTCCTGCTCTGCTGGCTGGCACTAGGGCACTGCCAGGCAGTGGAGGGGCAGTGGGGCAGCCACTCTGTGGGGTCTGCACAGTTACCCCCACCCTCTCCTCAGTTTCTCTCTCTCCCACATGCTCATCTTTCTGTTCTCAGCGCCTTCTTGGTTCCGGAGACCCCGACCCACCTGACAGCACGCACTACCAGGGCTTTTAGAAAAGTTCACCACAGTTCGTTTCAGTGGCTTGTTCTGGTAGGTATTTATTGAATACCTACTCTGTGTCAGGCGCTTGGGGCGGGGATAGAGTGAATCAGCCCCTGCCCTCAAGGGGGTTTCTATCTGGTGGAGGAGGAAGGCCAGGGAGCAGTGGATTCCCATGGATTAGGCCGACTTCCACGATTCGCGCCTGAAGCGGGCCCTCGGCACCGTAGGCGGGTAGCGCGTCTTCCTGAGCCTCACTTTCCCCATCGGGTACGTGGCAGGTGTTTGTGGGATTTAAAGAGACAGTGGCACCCAGGAGGTGCCGGCTCAGCCCCTCCTACCTCCATCCCTTTCCTGCACTTGCTGAGGCGGGAAAGTCAGCGGTCCAAGGCCTTCCAGGCTGTGTGCTCGTGGAGACTCCGGTGGCTGCTCCAGCCAGTGAACCTGGGACTCGAGGTGTGGCCTCGCCCTGTGACCTGAGTAGCAGTGAGACTTCATCCTAGCTGTGCCTGCTTTTCCGTAGCAGGGAAGAGGACACCCAGTGGGTCGAGCCAGACTTTTCCAGAGGGTTTTGGGCCCTTCCTGGGATGGTCAATGCTCAGCAAAGATAACACATCATAGCACTGGGACTTCCCTGGTGGTGCAGCGGTTAAGAATCCGCCGGCCAGTGCAGGGGACATGGGTTTGAGCCCTGGTCGGGGAAGATCCCACATGCCACGGAGCAACTGAGCCCGTGCCCCACAACTACTGAGCCTGCGCTCTAGAGCCTGCAAGCCACAACTACTGAGTCCACGCGCCACAACTGCCAAAGCCTGTGCACTCAAGGGCCCACGTGCGGCAACTACTGTGCCCATGAGCCACAGCTACTGAGTCCACGCGCCTAGAGCCCATGCTCTGCAACAAGAGAAGCCACTGCAATGAGAAGCCCGCGTACCACAAAGAAGAGTAGCCCCTGCTTGCTGTAACTAGAGAAAGCCTGTGAACAGCAATGAAGACCCAATGCAGCCAAAAAAAAGAAAGAAAATCATAGTATTATAATCACCAAACCCCCCTGCCTGTCTCCTGAAGAAAAAGGACTCACGTTCTGGCCCTGATCAGTGGAATTCTCGCGTAAGAGCTGGGGACAGCTTGGCCCTGTGACTCGGGGCATTTCCCTCCTAAGCCCCCATGCAAGAGTCCTAGCTGGACACCAGGATGAGTTAGAGTTTCATAATGTTCTTAAGAAAAACCAGGCAAGTGTATTCGGGTAGGGAGTGCCTGTTTGCTTCCTCTTAAAAAACCACCCTTGCAAGTAGCTCAGCCTCCTCTGCACCCACTGAGATAAAATGCTTTACTAATATAATCGGCCCTCACAACAATGTTTTGTTTTGAAGTACTTCATGCTCAGTTACTGTGAGCTGGATTACAGACCCCTCCCCAACTTTGTCCACCCCTTGTCCCAAGTTTGGGGACTTCATACAAAGAAGTGGTTTTGTTCTTTTCCAAAGTGGGGCTGTGGGGGGACAGAGGCAGTATGAAGTATGGATGAGAGAAGCAGGGCAGAGTGGAGCCAGGCCACCGGCAGGCCGGGGCTGGGTGCCCATCATCAGGCTGCCCGCCTAGCCTGGTTACCTCAGGGCCCCTTCTAGCAGAGACGGTGCTGTGCCTCTTGGTTTCTTTTCTCACCTCCCAGACCGTCCTCAGCACACCTGTGCTGAACTGGAATTTCTTCTGTAACCAGCTTCTCTGGGGAAGAGCCATGTCTGCCCGGTTATTGCGTTCTTGACACAGGAAACCTTGGTCAGGTGGCAGTTTCATGGGTGTGGCCCGCCCACTGGTTAGCTGGCCTGAGCGGCGAGCCAGCCCCCATTCCTGGCCGTGATTTCTAGTGGGTGTGGACAGGGGCCTGGCTGCTCCCGAGAGAACCTTTCAGCGCTGGGGAAGGCGGGGGCTGCCCGGGCAGCCTCAGCGCGCGGCTCCCTCCCTCCGGCTCCTCCAGCGTTTGCCGTGGGAGATGCTTCTTCACGCTAACCCAGGGTCACACGTGTACTAGTTGAATCTCTTTTGGTGAAACAGGGCAAGTGGCGGTGGTGGGGGTGAGAGGGGCCTCCACTCGCCACCCTCGCCTTGGCTAATTGCACCCCTTGAATGAGTTCCGTGTTGCAGGGACACTGGACACTACACACTCCATTTTCCTCCTCGCTCAGGCCAGGAGAAGACCGGAAATCAAATAACGTGAGAAAGTGCATGAGACACCAATTATCCGAAAGGCCACTGGGAAAAGTTGTGTAAATACAAGTCAGTGGACAGAAAACAAAACAATTCAGATGCTAAAAAAAAAAAAGAAAATTGGGCGGAAACCCATAATTACTTTAGGAGTTATGGTAATAAATTATTTATTAATGTAAATTACTTCACAGGCAAAGAACATAGAGGAAACTTGAGCAGAAGGATCATACATGATGTATGAAAAGGAATTGTAAAAATATCATA